AATATGTTTTTTTTCTATTGATGTTTGATGAGCATGGGTGGATCTTAAAGAAAGTTAACAGTAATATGAATTAACTCCTGTATTTTGATGGAACAGTGCAATTGAAAATGGTGTTTCGGACGTTACATTTTCCGTAAACAATGTAGACCCTCATTTAACCCACCAGAACAATAAATTAATGAGACTGTTTATGGTTTGAATAAGCTTATTAGTTACTCCAAGTCATTAAATTAAAAGAAAATATAATTTGATTGTAGTAGCGCTTATATTAGAAATATACTCAAAATTTGTAAAAGTTGTCTCATTTTCCGTAAACAATTTTGTAACGTCCGAAACAACTTTCAATTTGAAGTAGCAGAAAATATATGAACTGCAGGACCTATCTTTCGTAATTGTTTTAAAACATTTCATGGCAGCTACCCACCAAAAAAAAAAGAAATTTGCAATACATCATTACAATACTATTTTATAGTTAAAACCAATTTTCCGTTAACAGTTGTAACGTCCGAAACAAATGTAACGTCCGAAACAAAAAATACCAAATAAATGATGATAATCCATATTTGAGGGTATCTGGAGTGAATAAATCATTAAGACATAAGTTATTATAAGTCTTAACACAAGTCAAAATCCAAATCAGGTCTTTCAAATCCCTTAATTTTGTGTAAGCTCAAGAAAGGTGTTTCGGACGTTACACTATTTGATTGTTAACACATAGTTTCCAAATTTCAACTAATTTTCGATCATATGTGCAAGTTACGATTTCACAATGCACAATCCTGTTAAAAACACTATTGTGATAATTTCATTTAGATCTAAATATAAAAATATGAAGAAATATGATGCGAAAAATCAAATTTCCCTGCAAAATTGACTTATAAAACATAAAATATTGAAGCCACTCATTGTGATGCAAGGTATGGCTGGCTGCTTTAGTATATCCTTAGTTGTAATTTATCAGAAAAAATCTTAATAAAAGTGACTCATACAAAATATTCAGCCATTTTAACAGCACTTTCTGGTATGCTGTTAGCACGTTTCGGATGTTACATTAAACTGTTAACAGACATTTTCATAATTTAACTAGTTCAAATGAGGGGCAAAGATAAATGAAAGAATAGCAAATTTCAATTTTTCAACCTCTCCTCTTGCTATTTACATTGCTGTGTGTTTGCAAATCATCAGGTTTTCATTTTTACAGAGGTTGTTCCAAATTATGTCATATAACCAAAGATTGTATGGTCAATCTAAACTATTTGGTAGGTTACAAAAACTAAAAATCACCCACTTAAGCAATACCCAGTGTACATGTACATGACACGGGTATGATACAGGTATATAAAGTTAATAAAATCAAGCAAATTAAAATGTTTTTCTAAAAAATTATGGGAAATATGAATTTCCATTTGAAAATACCTTTTAAAAAGGGCACTTAGTACACGTAACTAATCTGTGTAGAAAGTACATACATGTTTGAAATAAAAGGGCATTACCAGTAATACCTTATTTAATGATCCTAAAAATATACAAGTAGTATCTTCCTCAAATGTATGCATACATACAAAATGTATAAGCTAGTGTAGGGATTTATTTCGAACTTCTGAAACTCCCCTTCATATCCACGATTCATCCCTTTCATATTAATAGGTCATCCCTCATTCACATTCACCCTTTTCATTCACCATCCTTTCATCTGTCTATCTCTCTCTCTCTCTCTCTCTCATTGGTTTCAATATTCACCTGATGCAGGCGAGCTTATATAGTATAATGTACATATACTATGAATATTCAATATATACCCTTTGTTTATGTTTGAATATTCAGGAATACTTTGTGATGTTGATTTATACTTGTATGGGACTATATGAATATATATTGATTTCTTCTACTTTGCATGGAATGTATGTGGAATGCTACATAGAATGCTGTAATGCTTTTACACATTAAAACCTGGTAAGTTAGCCAGTAGTTATCAATCCTACAACATGTCTGCTGGGGTGCCTCTGTGTTAAGAGTGCTAGGAATTATCTGTTAGAACCGCAACCCGACACTAGTGTGAAATATAAATGGGCTGTCCGTTTTTGTTTTTTTCCTCTACGAAATGTCAAAGTTGGGGGTGCGGCGCTGCGGCCTTATCGCCGGCAAATACGGTACATGTTTAACCTACACTGTATATTGTTTGTCACCTGTGATATCGGCACAGCAAGAGTTAAGATCTATCAACCAACCAACCGACCAACCAATTAATCCATCCATTCATCAATCGGTCATTAATTAAATAAATAAATAAATACTTATTTAAGAGCATTAAAAAATGTTGTCGTTTGAAACAACCTCCTAATACAAATAGTGGTAAAGGATGATTGTTACTACAGTAGTATTATAACCTAAAAACATACACAATTTTAAAATTCATCTAAAATGTCTCATTCTCGAGATGTACAAACATTAGGATTTACTTATTTCTTATTACCGTACTTACATGACTGGGGGTACTTTTTTATAGTTTTATTTTTAAAAAGATTTTTCAATGTTTTGCTTACATACATGTATGTGTTAGTAATATTATTTAATGACACGCTATATAGTTGAAGGCAAAGAACATTAGCAAGCTGATTAAACATCTATATTGTAGAGTTTGTAGAAATTGATGATCTCATTGAAATGTTAACATCGTGTAACATCCGAAACAAACCATAGTATACATTTCACACTGTTGTTCATAACATGCAATAAAGAGTATGTTTCTACGTGAATTTTCTGAGGAGTTTTGATGACTAAAATTGCTATTAGCTTCATATTTCACTCTATTAGATCACATAAACAATTTTTAACTACCGGTAAACGTTCTTGAAATGAATAATATTCCTTACATGAATTGAGTGGTCGATGAAGACAAACTTGGTATACATGTATGTGCTTAACTAATTAAAACTGCGCAATTTTTTTCCATAAATGTTACAGAAGTATTTTTCTGCAAACAATTAAAGTAACTGAGATCAATAATACCTAAAGAAAAGCAATTAACTTGAAGAAAGTTATAATGTTAACAGTGTGTAACGTCCGAAACATCAGTGGTGTGACATATGAAAATTATTAGGCAATGCACTGGTTCCCAAGTTTTTTGCAAGTATTTACCTTATATCATCACTTGTTATAATAAAATAAGTTTGACCTAAGAAAAAAGCATTTTACCTATTGAATTAAAAACTTGTTATTCTCAAAGCCCTAATTTAGAGCTATTTTTCACTTTCAAGGGATACAAAATCTGTATTTTTCAAGATAGAAACTCAAAAATTTGCATGATTAATCTCTGAAACATATTCTTAAAGACCCAACATATTTAAAGGTGTAGTTAATAGCAAATGAGTTTTATATCACAGTTATAAGTTATGCTATAGTTCACAATAAAATTGTAAAAACTCAAAGTATTCATATCTGGTGAACAAATAAGGAGATAGATTAAGGTCCAGAATTTGCATTTCTCAAAAATATGATTAGTCCTGATCCTAAAAATATAAGTTTGAAGTGAGTAAACATAATTTCATTTTGGACCCATTTGTGGACACATTTGGTATAAGTTAAAAAAAAAACCAGTGCGATGTTAAAAGCCATCCTTTCCGCATGGCCAAGCATCACGTATACAAAAATGTGATGTGTTAACATATTTACAAACTTCCTCAAAATGAGTTAGGCAAGAAGACTCATTTACAGAGGTTAAAATCTATCAAACAACAAACGTGGGTTGCTTCTGGGGCTCAGAATCAACCTGAGAAAAATAATGATTTTCTCTAGCGTACATAATACATGTAGGGGTCTACAGAATATTTAACATACATTCTTTATGACTCACATCATTCACATGTGAAGACATCAGATTGGTCGTTTTACTCACTGGTTAAATATCCAACCAAGTAGAAAAAGAGGTTGAAGAAGTACCTGGAAAATGCATAGGAATGCTATGAATTAGATGCAAAGAAATAAAACAATAAAGTTGAGATCACAGATAACACAGTCAAGCCTTATGAATCATCGCGCTCATGAATTGACGGTCGTGACATTATGATGCATGGGCAAGATCAGTGACAGCTTGATAGAAAACAGCAGGGGCACTCCCTAGAGAATGCCACTTCCCTGCAGAAAAGTGAAGGAATGTCTCAGCGCGATATGCATCTGCAACTTCCTTCTTCCACTTATTTTTCTCATCCCTGTCCTGTTTTGTGTAGTCATCGACGATGTAGAAGGGAGCATCCTTTAGCTTCTGGCGCTTGAGAGACATGATGTGCCGTTTGTCCTGATAAGACAGCAACTTGAATAACATGTGTCTCGGCCTCCCTTCAATTGGTTTCCCACCTCGGTGTGCACGCTCAATTGGTAGATTTTGCATCCCGAAGTACTGTGTGACTGTCTGTGAGGTGAAACGCTGAATAATTACAACGACTCAGGTTTTTACGGGAATGTCAGTTTATTTTAGAGTCATAACCATCAAGGGAAATGCAACTCTGTCTTTGACGAACGAATCTTTATCTTTACTCCTTTCACTGCTTTATTCCGTTCTTCTTCCCTTCATTCCGTGAAAACTGTACATGATAAAGCATAACAGGAATGCATAATAAGTATGTGTTCATGAATATAAGTTCCACAATATTAAAGCAGATATAGCATTCTACTAAATCAAAGACATTGTCTGAATTATAACTCCTTTTCATGTTTGCTTGTAAATCTTATATAAGTCAGACACTGTCTTGACAAATCTATCTGAACTTTATGTAGAATGTCACAGCTAACACACAGTTAAACTTATATCATCTCTATCATGTCTAAACCAGATTTAACACGGTTTCAACTAAAAATGTAACCATATTTAACGAGCTTGAATGACTTTATCATAGTCAAGGAATACAATAACAAAGTCATGACCTTGACCTGTCATTCACACAAGTATGCTCACATTCCTCATCCATTTTCATCATAGAATGTCTTATTCTGCATCATATATTTTACTTGACTATACTTCTTTCTCTCAGCGGCCACGAGTTTCTAGGAATGTTATCGTTCTTCGTCGGCACGATGTCGTCTAACTTCATGTTGCGCTGTGGCTTCGTCCATTTCTGCCATGACTGTAGTTGGCTCAGGAATTCTTTCCTCCATCGAGACCAGAACTTCTTGGCTAGGTGTTGTACTCTTCTCCATCGTTTCTTGGCGTACACATCTTCTCGTGGAAAGTTACCTGGCGGCGGTAATATCACCCTTGATTTCTGAGTCAACAGGTGATCTGGAGTTAGCGGTACTAGATGAGTCGGCTCATCAAATGAACCCTCTGCTCGCTTTAATCGTCCTCCAACCCGTAAAACTCCCCTTTCCATTTTCATCTTGTCTGTCAGTGGATCATCCCAGTCAGCACCTTCTCTGCACAATTCCTGAACACTCTGTCTGCCTCTCAATGTCACTGGAGCAATCAGTCCAAGAGGATCGTAGAGTGACATGACTGTTGAAAGCACTCCTCTTCCGGTGCATGGCTTGTCAGCAAATGTGATGCGAAAGTTGAAGGAATCTGATTCTATGCACCACTGCAGATCTATGGCTCGTTCAATCGTCAGCTCATCGTGTAGTAGATTGAGTTCTTTCACACACTTGGCTCGTTCTTCCATAGGCACTGCCTGCATTACCTCTCTTGAGTTGGAAACAATCTTGTGCAGGTGCAGTTTTCCTTCCTTGCAGAGCACTCTAGTCTGTGTCATCAAGTCGACTGCCTCTGCTGATTTGGGAACAGAGATCAAACCATGGACCACGTATAAGTCACTGTGTACGAAGTTTGCTGCAGCTACACACTTGTCTTTGTGGTCAGTTACAGTTTTCTTTCGTCCATAATTCGCACACCCTGGTGATGAGGCAGCACCAAACAAGTGTGCCTTCCTTCTATAGTGATGAACTGGTTGCTGGTAATCACCATCAGGCCACCACACATCACACATGAAGGCTGGCCTTTCCATCCGGAATCTGCACAAGACGCCAGCCAGTGCATTTGTCATTTCCGGTCCTGTCATCAAATGTTCGTTCAACGATTCTCCTTTATACTGAACACTACAGTCAAAGACGTCTCTCAATTTGTTCGGTTGTTGAACGCCGTGATGTGGAATGTACCAGACTGTTTTCTTGTAGTCCATGGGTTCTGGTACATACTCTGAATACTCATTCTTGATGAGAGCATCCATTACCTTGGTGTAATGTTCGTGATAGACTACATCCTTTGTGAACTTCCGTCTTAAGCCTTGTAGCCTCATCTTGGCTTGGAACACATTGCTTGGCATCAACGGTTCCTCCATCTTGAGTGGTAGTGGCATTTCGTAGTGCCCATTATCCGCAACATGGATGCCATCTTCCATTACTTTCAGGAACCTTTCATCATGCTGTGAATAAGGCCTCTCACTCGTGTCTGCATTGAAACCTGCTTCCATTTGTTTCACTATGTGGCTCGGGTTGATATCTTCCTCTGCGGTGATAGACTGTGCGAACACTGCATCGGACTTCTGTTTGCTGACACCATGTAATTCAGTGAGTCCTATTGGATCATCTGAACTGCCTTGATAGTTGGAGTTCACTGTGCCGATGATACTCCAACCCAAATCGGTCTGCGTCCCGAAAGGTCCGTCTTCGTTGTTGGTGACAGCTGGCGGTCCATTGTCAACCCTTTCTTTGCACCTGTATTGATAGGAGGCAGTGGAGGAGGCCTCTGAGGCCACATCACCACGTAAGAGAATCAATGTCTTTGCGGCTTCTTTCATCAAGCCGAATTGCTTTTCCTCCATCACTTCAAGCTTGTCCTCGCTGTCGTCCTCTTTTGACAAGGCAGCTGTGACTTCTGCCAGCGTTTCCTGAGTTGCGATGGCGTTCTCGATTGCTTGTTGGGTGCCTTTTCGACCATCTCTAATTATTGATGATTCTGAGTTTTCATCACTTAACAGTTCCATCAAATTGTTGGCTGTTTTCTGCCACGTTATTATTGCATCCTTCCAGTTCTTGGTTGCAACGCCAAGCTGGTATTGCAACACCTTGTCGGTTGCAACTGCTTCTCCTGATGATCTTGTTTGACCCTCAGCTGATTGTTGCAACACCTTGTCGGTTGCAACTGCTTCTCTTGATGGTCTTGTTTGACCCTCAGCTGATGGTTGCAACACCTTGTCGGTTGCAACTGCTGTTTGTCCCTCAGCTTTTCCTTCTCCTTCTATCATCTTGTCTGATCGTTGGAGAGAGCTTACTTGAAGAGCCGAGAGGCGGTTTAACTCAGGAAAAGGTTGGCTATTTCCCTGAGTTCTTTTCACTCTTCTGAGAGAGAGTTTTCACTGTGACTGTCTGTGAGGTGAAACGCTGAATAATTACAACGACTCAGGTTTTTACGGGAATGTCAGTTTATTTTAGAGTCATAACCATCAAGGGAAATGCAACTCTGTCTTTGACGAACGAATCTTTATCTTTACTCCTTTCACTGCTTTATTCCGTTCTTCTTCCCTTCATTCCGTGAAAACTGTACATGATAAAGCATAACAGGAATGCATAATAAGTATGTGTTCATGAATATAAGTTCCACAATATTAAAGCAGATATAGCATTCTACTAAATCAAAGACATTGTCTGAATTATAACTCCTTTTCATGTTTGCTTGTAAATCTTATATAAGTCAGACACTGTCTTGACAAATCTATCTGAACTTTATGTAGAATGTCACAGCTAACACACAATTAAACTTATATCATCTCTATCATGTCTAAACCAGATTTAACACGGTTTCAACTAAAAATGTAACCATATTTAACGAGCTTGAATGACTTTATCATAGTCAAGGAATACAATAACAAAGTCATGACCTTGACCTGTCATTCACACAAGTATGCTCACATTCCTCATCCATTTTCATCATAGAATGTCTTATTCTGCATCATATATTTTACTTGACTATACTTCTTTCAACTTTAAGTAAAACTAAACATCAATTATAGATGTAATGACATATTAAATGTGCAATAGATATCTCTAGTCTATCCTATGTGTGGGTACACAGTATACACATGTTATACATTTGCCATACAAATTACTGTGCTACTGTGTAAGTTTCATACAATGTAAACATCTTAAAAAACTACCTTTTTGACATTCATTTTCATAATGCTCAAATATGTGGTTTAAGTAACCTCTGTGGCTCCATAATACTGTAGAAACAGCTTTCAGGAACAAAGGATGCTCCAGAAAACCACAGATTTTCCTCACAAAACAGAAATCATGTTGCAAACATGATCATTTCAAATCAGCCAACAACAGGTGGCGCCAAACAAGTTTCTGACCTTCAAACTAGAAAAACTTTAAATAAGAACTGTCAAAGTAATCTTTGACCAAACGCCCTCTGTTGTTCTATTATTGCAATGTCAAGCTAAATCAATAAATACTAAATAAAATGACTTTAACTAGCAAATACAAAATTACAACTTTCACATACTGAACCAGCAAAATGGCAACTTTCTCATCAGGCTTTTCTCCATTATCCTCCGCCAGGCCGACGATCTTTAGGTTATTTCTCCTTAAAAATCTGTCAAGCTTACGTTCTGCCTCCTCGGCTTTGTGGATTCGGATATGGAGATTTTCAAGTTTCTTCTCCATAGAATTGACCTTCTGCTCAAGAGACTGAACACGATGCTCAAGATCAGTTGTACGGGTGGCTGGAAATTCGAGGGCAGACTCAAAACCATCCAACTTAGATTGGATGTTAGTTATGCCCCGTTGCAAGGCACCGACTGCGGCAATCCATCGCACAGCTCAGTTTGCGCTGGTACATCCACGGACATAGATGCAGACTTACCGGTAGCCGAGTCGCGTGGCTTTGATTGGCTATTTCTAGGCATGACGAGAATTATAAATACTTTCTCGTGGCAGAAATCTTACATTATAAACAGCTGATAACTGCATCAAAATGTTGTTCTCCCTCCATAATAAGATGAAATTAAGTTGATTGTCAGAGAAATCGAATCTAAGTCCATGAAACAAACGAACATTTCTGGAGCCCCAGCAACACACGTCAATCCGCGGCCATCTTTATCTTTATCTTCCGTTTTTTGGCATTAATTTTGTTTTAACTTTGTTCAATCAAAGTTATCATTTCGAATCCACTTTCGTCAAAGTTAAATCAAGTTGTCCTGGGACATGGGGGAATGGGGATGATTGTTTTAAACGGGATCGCATTTATTTGTGTAATCGCATTTATTTATCTAGCTGCAAAACTATCACTAGTATTTTTGCTTCTTCCCCCGACGGCGTCACTCATTTGGTTTGTATAAATGCTTTGAATTAGTTTTTATTATGTTAACCTCAATTTTGCCACCTAGATTTGTTTATATGTGCTTTTAAGCGAATAAAGAATAGGAAATGGAAACAAGTTAACACTTGATTTCACATCGGTTTATTTCACTGTTCGCATTAATTAGCAGAGAGAGAGAGAGAGATAGACGTGAACATTTCACGATCAACGAATATGTATTAGCATTATTCTTATTTGTTTATCGTCTCTACAATACTATTTGAATAAACAACATGTTTAAATGTTAGGCTTCCTGGGAGAAGTTTCAATTGCTTTTACGACATTTCTGGTGTGCACTCCGTAGATTCCGCTGGATTCAAGATATGTTACTGATTTGTTTTTTTAATTACGACATCGAGCACATGATCTCAATCTACTGGGTGCAAGTCAAAAATGTCTTTACAACAATAAACAACATTGTGGTACTATTTATGTAACGTCACTTAATTATCTTTGTTATGAAATTGCACATGACGAATGTGATGAAAATGACAATGCTTATCCTTATTGTTATTTTAGTTATAATAATAATTGTTATATCATTCCAATCATCTTCATAATCTGCATTGTCAGCATAAATGGCAGTAGTGTAGTACAAGTACAATTAGTAGTAGTGGTTTCATTCAGATCCTTATTATCTTGATTATATTTTGCAATACGTCATGTGCCCAGAATTTATTGCTATACTACATTCAAGATGTCTACCCAACAGGGGCGGCGATCCGGGGGCAGTGGGGGGGGGGGGGGGACACGTCCCCCCTCGCATAATACCCTTCAAAATGTACAAGTAATTACCGAGAAAATTAAAGGGTGAAAAAAGTATATTGCTAACGTTTATACTATAGTTTTGCTAAGGAATATAATTTGTTAAAACCTGTGAGGGGGTAGTCACCGTCACCCCTCTCATTTACTATGCTCCCTCGCATTTGCGTACTGATGGGGGCGGGGGGCTTTAGGGGCAGTTCCCCCCTCCCCAAATGAAATTCAAACGTATTTCTAATTCGTTACCAGTGATTTACAAATGTTGTAGAAATGGCATGATCATATTGCTCCGGTTGTCTCACTTTCGCTCGCTAGACCAATCCCAGCACAAACGTAGCTAGTTCGACGTCACTACCAAACTAGCCAATCAGCTGTCAATGACGTCATTTTGTATGAGGCGGCAAATATATTTTGTGGAATTATCGAAAAATTGACTATTTCTAATCGCAAACTAGTTTTATTTCTGTATGGAAACGCATGCAGCCATTGTTAACTTGGCATGCATTTATGTCATCAGAATAGGGTAAATTATGTCTTACATGATTCAAGGGGTCTATTTTGCAGGAAAATTGTCAATTTCGTAGAATGTTCCACTATGTTACAGGATGTGCCATTGGGTATGTGTGAACCGGGTGTGCGGAAATGGTGTGTCGGGGAGGGGAAGTGAGAGTGTTCGTGTGCGTGGTAATTGTATGTGTGTCAGATAGCTAATCATAAATCTACAATGACGAGTAAACTGTCTACATCACAGTCCACAGATAAATATGTGCCTTGAACGTATATGGCAGACGGCAATCGGCGGAGCAGATGACACTTGGTAGTGATTTTGTATGTGAGATTGCTTTGCTAAATATAAAATACAAGAACCTTTTCCATATCTTTAAACTATCATTAATATCTGATAATTGAACAGTTAGTAAAATAAACCTACCAAACTACATAATACAATGAAATACTTGACTGAAAGTAGGGGAGTTTGATATGGTGCACAATTGCACCTCTTTGTAAATAATCGAATAGTCCATGGTGTGTCATGAATATTCATGTTTTTGCTTACCTCGGCAAAATGTTTGCCTAAACTAAATGGAAAAATTACGGTGAGGGGTTGGCTGAAGTGGACATATTGAACCAAGCAGAACTGATCTATGATAATCTTTGCTTGTTATCATCCGTGTGCTTGACTTATAATAATAATAATAATAATAATAATAATAATAATAGCCTAATAGTCCACTCCAAATTTTATTAAACCGAAACGGAAATTGTTTTTGCCCAATTGATAGTGAGCCCGGCAGCGACTGAGCAGCGCCAGATCGACGTTGCTCTATCCCTTATTGTTGAACGCCAAATAAGGTAGCAACAACTCCCATCTTTTGGTATGACGCGGCCGGGGTTCGAACCCACGACCTCCCGGTTGTGAGGGGGACGCTCTACTGACTGAGCCAACACTTCGGTATTAACCTTACAATCGTTTGGCAAATTGCGTCCAAAGTTCGACTTGTTACACATGCGTTATATAGGCAAAGGCGAGCTTGCGACCTGTTTTGATCAAATTACGGTGGGTGAAATTTCAAAAGTCAATGAGACATGAGGGTTCCAATGAAAGAGCTAGTGTCAACGTACGTCGGGCCCCTGGTTGCTCAGCTGACCGAAATTAAATGCCTAAAACGCCTGAATTTCCGGGGGCTCTGCTCCCTGGACCCTCAAAGGTCCTTAAGTCGGGTCCCTGGTTGCTCATATAATCGTAATTTGATGCCTTAAACCCCTGAGCTTCTGGGGGCTCTGCCCTCTGGACCCCACCCTAATAAGTGACCTGCATGCCAGTGTCACAAATAAGGTATCAAAATATGCTCATCTGACCGTAATTAAATGCCTTATACCCCTGAGCTTCAGGGGGCTCCGATCCCAGGATGCTCATCTGACCTTAATAAATGCCTAAAACCCCTGAGCTTCATCAGGCTGCGCCCCTTGACACCCGCCGGGGCTTTGCCATCGGATCCCACGCCAATGTACGCTCCACTTTGCTTTGCTTTGCTCTACCTGATCGTAAATACTGTAACCCCCCCCCCCCACCCCCGACTTTGAAAAACGTTCCAGGGCCTGCGTAACATGTAAGAGTGGTGGTGATGCAGATTTTTTTTCTGCCCCCCCCCCCAAAAAAAAAGTTTTTGCCGATTATGCCACAGCTCCCTCGTCCCTCGCATTTGAAAAGAAAAGAAAAGAAATCGCCTCCCCTGCTACCCAAACTCTTAATTCTTGCTGAAATATTATCAACAGAAAAGAAGAAGCTTGTTTGCCCCCTTTTCGCTATTTTTTTTCATTGCTCTTTTGCAACCATATTTTGGATGGCCAAACGCAGGGCATCTCAAAGCCAGATTCTGAAAGTATGTCAAGGGGAAATTTAGACACCAATTTTTACCCTGCATGATTATCTTAGTATGGGAGGCCAATTCGGCCACAATACGCGTCATGTTTTCATTCACCCAAATCCCATTTGCATGCAGCGCTTGTGAGCCCTATCTAGGTCCCTTTCTCCATTTCGATTCATTTCGTAGGCATAGTCTCTACCATCCTATCAAGGTCGGTGTACTCTTCGTTTGACAAAATCACCATGTGTAACCGTCCAGGCGCCAATTTCTGGTCCGTTTTAATGCCTTTCCGTATTCATTCGTATCTTCACTATCCTAGATCCTACAGACTTCTTACATATTTTTCTAGATAGTCCAAAGGATTTTCTTTCATCTGCGACGTGTAACCTATTTGAAATTAATATAGAAATCAACTCCGTCAAAAATTGCATAAATTCTATAATTATTGACCTCTAAAAAAACTGCTAATTGCCATAAAAATATGAACCTCACCACTAACCAATTTTGCAAAAAGAAAATTGAAAATATTCATTTTTTCTAGGTGTTTTGGTGATTAACTGATGACAGTTTCCAGCTTTCACTAGGAATGTGGCAGAAGAAAGAGAAGATACAGCATGTAGATAAATTTAAGAACAGCCTTAAAAGATTTTGATAAATTCAAGAACTTGTACAGTACTTTAAGAGCCAGGAGAACGACACCTAGCTTTCACTAAGAATGTGGAAGAAGTTTTTCAAAAAGTCGGTCAGTCGTAAAGGCAACGCCAAAAGTCTGATCCACGGAGACAAAAAGGAAGGAAATGAACAAGATTGCCGTATTGGTGATTTGCAGAGTGCACTAAGCAGTGCTGTGCAGAATGGACAACTTGACCTCATCCAAAAACCAATCGGTAAAGGAGCCGAGGTGAATAACAGCGGAAATGACGGTTTGACCCCATTACATTATGCTGCTCAAAATAGTCATCCTGATGTCACCAAATATCTCATCAGTCAAGGAGCCCAGGTGAATAAAGTTCAAAATGACGATTGGACTGCATTACATCAAGCTTCACAATATGGTCATCTTGATGTCGTCAAAGAATTAATCAGTCAAGGTGCTGAGGTGAATAAAGTCGAAAAGAACGGGTGGATCGCTTTACATTTGGCAGCACAAAATGGCCATCCTGACGTCACCAAATATCTCATCAGTCAAGGAGCCCAGGTGAATAACAGTTCAAATGACGGTTTGACCCCATTACATTTGGCAGCACAGAATGGTCACCCTGATGTCACCAAATATCTCATCAGCCAAGGTGCTGAGGTGAATAAAGTTGAAAACGACGGTTGGACTGCATTACATCAAGCTTCAGTGAATGGTCATCTTGATGTCGTCAAAGAATTAATCAGTCAAGGTGCTGAGGTGAATAAAGTTGAAAACGACGGTTGGACTGCATTACATCAAGCTTCAGTGAATGGTCATCTTGATGTCGTCAAAGAATTAATCAGTCAAGGTGCTGAGGTGAATGAAGTTGAAAAGGACGGATGGATCGCTTTACATTTTGCAGCACAGAATGGTCATCCTGATGTCACCAAATATCTCATCAGTCAAGGAGCCCAGGTTAATTACATCGCAAATGACGGTTTGACCCCATTACATTTGGCAGTACTAAATGGTCATCCTGATGTTACCAAATATCTCATCAGTCAAGGAGCCCAGGTGAATAACAGTTCAAATGACGGTTTGACCCCATTACATTTGGCAGCACAGAATGGTCATCCTGATGTCACCAAATATCTCATCAGTCAAGGAGCCCAGGTTAATTACATCGCAAATGACGGTTTGACCCCATTACATTTGGCAGTACTAAATGGTCATCCTGATGTTACCAAATATCTCATCAGTCAAGGAGCCCAGGTGAATAACAGTTCAAATGACGGTTTGACCCCATTACATTTGGCAGCACAGAATGGTCACCCTGATGTCACCAAATATCACATCAGTCAAGGTGCTGAGGTGAATAAAGTTGAAAACGACGGTTGGACTGCATTACATCAAGCTTCAGTGAATGGTCATCTTGATGTCGTCAAAGAATTAATCAGTCAAGGTGCTGAGGTGAATGAAGTTGAAAAGGACGGATGGATCGCTTTACATTTGGCAGCACAGAATGGTCATCCTGATGTCACCAAATATCTCATCAGTCAAGGAGCCCAGGTTAATTACATCGCAAATGACGGTTTGACCCCATTACATTTGGCAGTACTAAATGGTCATCCTGATGTTACCAAATATCTCATCAGTCAAGGAGCCCAGGTGAATAACAGCAAAAATGACGGTTTCACCTTATTGAATTTGGCAGCACAGAATGGTCATCCTGATGTCATTAAATATCTCATTAGTCAAGGAGCCGAGGTGAATAACCGCGAAATTGACGGTTGCACTGCATTGCATCAAGCTTCACAATATGGTCATCTTGATGTCGTCAAAGAATTAATCAGTCAAGGTGCTGAGGTGAATGAAGTTGAAAAGGACGGATGGATCGCTTTACATTTGGCAGCACAGAATGGCCATCCTGACGTCACCAAATATCTCATCAGTCAAGGTGCTGAGGTGAATAAAGGTGGTAATTATGGTTTGACCCCTTTACATATAGCTGCAATGAATGGTCATCCTGATGTCACCAGGTACCTGATCAGACTAGGAGCTGATGTTGATAAGGCTTGTGACAGAGGATGGTCAGCCTTAAACCTTGCCACAGCTGCTGGTCATGTTCGTGTTTCAAGTGCTTTGCTTAGTCAACAAGCTGAGCTGACCACATCAAATATGATTCATTGGACGGAGTTACATACCTTTGCAGAGACAGGCGATCTTGATGCCATAAAAGATCATGTCAGTCAAGGAGCCGAGCTGGATGAAGCTGGTTCTTTTGGTTGGACAGCCTTACATATTGCAGCAAGTAATGGACACCTTGGTATGACAAAATATTTGCTAAGTCAAGGAGCTGATGTGAATTATAGCAACGACTTTGGTAGGTGTGCCTTGCATAGTGCCTCAGAGAAAGGGAATTTGGATGTCGTGGAATATCTGATCAGTGAAGGGGCCGATATGAACAAAGGAAATGACCTTGGAGTGACTGCCCTACAGTTTGCATCAGAGTCTGGCCATTTAGATATCGTCAAATCCCTAATCAGCCATGGAGCTGAGGCAGATAATTGCGACGCAGATGGAATCACTGCTCTCCACTATGCTATATGTGCTCGTAAGATCGACATTACGAAGTATCTGCTTAGCCAAGGCTCTAAACTAAATAAGAGAAGTGTGCGTGACTCTGTCATCTTAAAATTTGATGGACAGTATGGTCACTATGATGTTGTGCGATGTATGCAGAGTAATGTAGGTCGTACAGATAGCAGACTCGTTGATTCTTTCACTGTCTTTAGAGGTGCTCCAGAAGGTGATCTTGGAAGAAGCAAATATCAAGATGGCGATGAGAAAAAGACAGTTCAAGGTGGAATGGTTATGGTGCTTATGTCACTTATATCGTCTGATCTTGACATTCAAGATATTCTTGCAAGTCAAGGAAGCAGAACAGTTGAACTCACATCATTACAATATGCTGTAGAAGGTGGCTGTCTTGCTGTTGTTCGGTATCTGATGAGCCAAGGAGCTGATGTGAACGAAAGCAATAATATTGACTGGAGTGCTCTTCACTTTGGTGCGCAAAAGGGGCATCTTGATATTGTAGATTATCTACTTGGACAAGGAGCTGAAGTAGCCAAAGGAGACATTGATGATATCTCGCCTTTGCATGTTGCTGCATTTGTTGGCCATTGTGACGTTACCGAGCATTTGCTTAGGCAAGGAGCAGAGGTCAACGGAGCCACCAAGGAGAAAGGTTCTACAGCCCTACATGTCGGAGTGCAGAATGGTCATCTCGATATCACAAGATGCTTGCTCAACCACGGAGCCGAAATTGATGCGACAGACAATGACGGTTGGACTCCCTTGCACATTGCTGCTCAGAATGGTCACATCGATGTAATGAAGTGTCTACTTCAGCAATTTGCAGATGTAAGCAAAGTTACCAAGAAGGGATCATCTGCATTACATTTATCTGCTGCAAATGGACACACCGATGTCACAAGATGTCTATTGGAGCACGGAGCTGAATTTAATTTGATTAAAACTGGTCAGACTGCGTTGCCACTCGCTGCAGAACAAGACCAAGTGCATGGGACAAGTCCAGATACGTGGTGTGCTGAAGAGCAGAAACATCCTTCTTTCCCAAATGGCCATGCAAATACTGAGGGTTTAACAGAAGATGGGAAGAAGGTATTTAATCAAGTATTCCTATATGTTTCATATGAAAAAAATATCATACAGTTTATCAATATTCTTGCAAGTATTAAAATCATATCAATATAATTTGAAAAGGGTTAGCAAATTTTAAGCCTTAATAATCCTGTGAAAACTTTCTTGTGAAGGTATATAAATTGTCTGAATCATGAAAAAGGTTGAAATGATTCCACGAGGACTTCTCAAAACTTATTTTGTACCAGTGCATAAACATGTAAGTCAAAGCTGTCTTAGTGGCCACCTGTCTATGAAAGCCACCTGTGTATCGTGGCAGTTTATTTTGCCTCCCTCGAGAATGAAATGTGTGTTTGAGAACCTCTCTACAAAGGCCATCTGTCAACAGTGACCACTTTTTTGGGGGTTTCCCATGGGTGACCTTTACAGACAGATTTGACTGTATAATATTTGTTTAAATGTTAATATCTGTATAAATGTAAGTCTATTCGGTGATGAAAGATATGGAAAACTAGAAAAGAAACTGCTTTATAAAAAGCTGTTTTGTTTGTAGATTCTTAATTCTTGAGGATGGTGTTTTACACAGGTTGTTGGACAACATTCTGAGAAAGGCTGCACACCAGTTCATTTAGCCACGCAAAATGGCTACACCTCCATCATCGAGACATTAGTTTCTCATGGCGCCGATCTCAACATCCAGTCCATCGACGGACAGACCTGTCTTCACGAAGCCATCAGACGTTGTGGTAGGAAGGACAGCAAAGTTGAAGCAACACCACCACTCCAAAAGGTAAGATGATGAACTCTAGGACACACTGTGCCTGGGATTGTACAACTCTTGTTCTTCTAACAATTGCTATGAAGTAATTTCCTACACTAACCGGATTGCTTACTTACAATGGGATGTAATTGGAATCATGCCATTCACACGTTAGTGACGACGACTTTTAACAATGAATGAGTTAGAAAAACACAACTATTGTTTAGAATTATGAACCTGTGGATAAATCTTCAGAAACACAAAGGCCTCCTAAAGTATAAACAATATTTTCTCTGTATAATTGTTCTAGATCTCTGAAGAGTTCTATCAGAATGAGTTGTCTGCCAAGAAGGCCTTGGTCTTCTTTCTCTTGGACCACGGAGCAAAGCCGGACATCAAGGATAACCATGGCAACCTACCAGTCCACTATGCCAAGGATGAAATCATTCGCCAGATGATATTCTCAAGGTAGGGAAGCATTATATTAACATGGTCATTTGGAACAAATATAGAAACGGTGTCATAGTACTTGACTTGGAATGCCAAAGGTCGTCGGTTCTTTATATTCTCTGCATGGCATGCATGTCCTTGGGCAAGGCATGTTTATCTACAATGCCCTCTCCACCCAGGTATTAAATGTGTACCTGCCACGATGTGAACACCAATGTCATTTGATTAGCATGCACATACCAGTATAAAAGTGTGACTGGCTAAACGGCTCCCCATGGAGTGGAGAGTGCACTGTAAAGTGCAGAATCATTATAGAGTCCAGGGACTAGTTGATCATACTGTAACAACTTAAGTCAGGTACATTGTAAATGATAAAGTGCTTTATAAAATACAGTTATTATTATCTCTTCTTTTAAATGAAAATGATTAACGTGGCTTTCTTAAATTCGGATTTGGGTTTCCAGCCGAGTTATAAATACGGTTGCTACCAGGTTTTGAAATTAAATTATGCGGATGAAACAGGGCAATTCCACCTGGGACACATTCATTAAAAATTGTTCAAATTAAATTTAACCAAATATGAATACTAGTATACAAAGAGGATTGCACAAATGTTCAGTAACTTCATTGAAAACATTTTAAGAATTTAGTCAGATAAATTTTGGCAATTTGAAACATAAATTATGCTGAATTCTGTTTAAAATTCAAATGCTTATTTTCTTCAGAAAGTTGAGTCTTTATTTGAAAAAAATGTATGAAAAAAAGCTTTTGAAAGCTAATTGTCCCATACATTCCATATGTCCCATTTTGTCATGACCATGTCTTAAAATTGTACTCTAAACTAGTTAGTAGATATTGTAAAACTATAGAATAAACCACTTCAATACTGGATATGTGTTCATGAATGTATGTGGTCAATATTCATTTATGCACTAACAGTATATTCTATTGTACACAGGTGGAAGAATTCTTTTCAAGAGGGCAAACAAAAGGTAGTTGTGAATCACCTCCATTAATTTAGCAGTGATTATCCTGAATTACAGAAAGTGGGACTTCTCCATTAGTAAAAGATCTGTGAATATTTAATCAAATCCCTTTGCTTGCACAAGAATATTCTGAAGTTAATATCATTTTTCTTTGTTGTCATTTGCATAAATTCCCAGGTCTCCTGCCATGGACATCATCAGAGCTTATCGAGGTAACACTCTCTGATAAATAAATAATAAGACATAGATTATCATAAACAAGTAATGATAGATATATAATTCATAAGGTTCTCCAATTTTTTTTTATTGACACGGGTGCATTATGAAAACAAGATGTGAACAAGAAATCTTTTATTCAGGGCAATTGCCAAATTTATTTTCAGAAGTACAAATTTCATATTTAAAAGAGAAATGAATGACGAGGTGATCAGTTTTATTGTTTAACTAAATTTCCATAATGCTTAAGGGGACTTTTATTTTTATTTTGTGGCCACATAGGAGAAAGTTAGGTTCTGGTGAAGATAAAGAATAAGTTGTAATCTTTCCCATGTTTTTTGTGTGTTTTCTTTATTACATTTTGGGGGAACATACATATTTTAAATATTCCCTAAAAAGTATTGCTCTGCAAATGCCCTTATATTTGAAGTATGACGAGAAATACTTTAAAAGTTTGGACCAAACTTTTGAGCCACGTGTTTGCATTGTGCAGTTCCCTATACCCATACCCAGATAGAGTGATTTGCTTTTCATTTTGATCACTCCAAAACTTTATTGATTCTTATGTTAAACATAGTCGACCTCTCCCAATTGCTTCTGGGTATGGAAAGGTACTCAACTTTATCTTTAAACCCTTATCACTCTCTCTTTGATTATTTTTATTTGCAGCAGGAAAGACGGCGCCTCCAGTGGTCAACGCCGTCTCTGTTCAGGTCGGATATGAAGGTAAAGAGCTCAAACTGCAACACCATGGCATTGCAATGTCTATCCCACCTGGAGCTGTCGAACGGAATGAATCTTGCAAGGTCACTCTCACCCTTGTGAGGGACCTCTTCAGTGTTGACATCCAAGATGACACACCAATGGCTGCATACGGGATCAGGTGTGACCCACCAAACATGGTCTTCCACCAGCCTGTTAAGATCATGATACCACATTCCACCATATTCATCAACCCTGAGCAAGTGATACCAGACATCGTCTCACATATTTGGGATGCAAGAAAGGGTATGTTATTTGGTTTATTAAAATATCCATTGTTTTAACGTTTATATTAGAAATCTTGTTTCCAAAACTAAACTACTTTAAACCATTATTTTCCTTCTGGTTATACCAAAGGGATCCCGATCTTCAAGCCAAGTGTTAGAGAAACATAAACAAGAATCATGTGAATGCTCAGATGAACCAGCTGAGTTTTCACCTTTCACCTTTTAAACAGTGGTCTAATACTACCTTATTGTTTGCTATGATTGTGTCCAAAATCGGGTTAAAATAGGGATGTTATTCTGAGGTTTCGGTTTGTTTAAGCTGAACATGGTCTTAGACTCAGGGCTTGATTTCGGGGACTAAATGAGTAGATACGGACCAAAATATCTCTTGAAAACACATTGTAAATTTAAATCTTCATAGACTGAAGCGGGACTGAAAGAATTGTTAATATGTCATATTGATATTGTATTAATGATAACTGTTGAAAGGATGACCTTAAAATGGCTACCAAGCATATTCAGAATATGTAAAACATATCATCCAAAACGTATGATTTAAAGAGAAGGTTGAGTTCTGGTTAAGATTAAAGTTAATTTGTGATTTTTCTCATTCTTCATATGTCATTTTGGAAATATACCATAGTAGAAAAGTCTCCTGAAAAGGATTGCATCAGAATACTTTCTTATTCAAAATGTGGTGAAAAATAACTATCAAATTGTATCCAAACACTTGTGTTAAGTACCGTGTACACATTTTCTGTGTGTGGTGCATGTGATCTTATGGAAAACTGAGTCAATTTATTTTCATGTAAATCAATAAAAAAACGTCACAAGGCACATCAGATTTTATTAACATCATAAACTACTTTTTGAAGTTGCTTTCAGACAGTTTCTTTCACAATGTAATTGCATGACAAGTACTCAGCTTTATCTTTAAAGTCATCATCCTTTCAAACAAGAATCTTTTTTCGTAATAGGGCTATCCTGGGTTTCATGTTGCTCAAATGCTCATTAAAGAATGTTTGACATTGTGGCTCAAATTATAGGTTTACCAAGAGTTTCGAGGACAAAATCATCTGATGCACCTGACAAATTGCCGTTCTGCAAAGTCCTGGAGAGACATCTTGAGCTGCACATCGATCACTGTGCCGAGTGGTGGGTTCTTATCCCTCTTGAACAACAGATCATCCAGCTTCAATTCATGTGTACCCCATACGTACCGGACAAGATTGAACGAGGCAAAGAGTTTGATGTTCATCTCCACCTGAATGCAGATATCCCGGGCATAGAAATGGTCGGTTAGAAATACTTCGGTTCAACTCGGTTCACTTTTATTCTCTCTCGTTCCCTTCAGATCTCTTCCCAGGGAGCATGCTCATATGGGTCACATGTACATTGGGTTTCAATATGGGTCCCACATGGGTCTGCCCATATAGACTCCATATATGATATTGCACCTAACATTCGTATGGGACACATATGGGCCATCCCAGGTGGCACATATGGGTTCGTCCCAGGTGGGCATAATGTGCACTATCCCATATGGGCATCAAAGGGTGGGGGTTCCCATATAGCCCTCTCTTTGAAATTCCCATATGTGCCCCATATAAGTTTGCACTACAGATTCATATGGGACCTATATGGGCAACCCCATTTTGCCCATATGATTATTCCTTCATCTTCTTGTAATTTTCAAAGGGCTATACAGCCTGTCACTAAGATCTGTATATGGATTACCAGTTGTGTATTGCAGCAGTATATGCAAGCACACTAAAATCCGGAGTTACACCGTACTCTCTGTGAGAGTGTAAACTAGCTTGCATAGGGTGTGACTCTCCTACACGCGGGCTTCCAGACTAATTATCAGCGGAGCAAATGTTGGCCCACCGTTATTATAAAAATGCATGTAGATACATTGGGTCGTCATGTAGGTTGTAGATATTACATATAACTTTTGTAGAAACTGACATGGAAATATATTTTTTGGGTCTTATTAAGGGGTTACTGTTGCCTAATTGAAGAACAATGTGTGACAAGTTGAGCCCTTCAGAAATAATGCTAATACTATATATGCATTTATAACACACACAGAACAATAAATTGATTAAATCTACAGGTAGAGAAAGTCCAATTTTAGATAAACAGATAAATATCCAGGTGTGTTTTGGATTGTTTTGCGGATTCTAATTTCCTCAGTTAAGAGAAAGTGAGTTCAAGAGAACAGGTGCCGTTTTGGCGACAAATCTGTCTCCGTAGCTGTCCTAAAAAAGTTCATGAATAAGATTCGGTGGTAGATGAATTCTAATGTTCTGTTTCTTTTCTTTTAAATAGGAAGTACAAAAGGAGGAGAAGCAGAGTTCATACCACAATGCACATCGCTCCTTTCCGATCTCTATCGAAGCTAAATCCGGTGACATTTCAGTGACTTGTGACGGTGAAGGCAAGATGAGCAACACTAAGGTATGAAAACACAATTGACCCCACCCCAAATATGATGCTCGACAATAGATGGCAACCTTCCTCTTACAATGTGCTGGTCAGCACATGCGCATATACGATACTGGGGAAGACGATAAGACAAGGTTACTTCTGGCTTCCATAGAGAATGTACAGCAGTGTCAACTAATTCCTTATTTTACTAAACTACTGTTCAGGTTTAATAACCCCCCTCCCCCCCCCCGCTCATTTGATGAGATCTATGTAGGCCCCATCATAATCCGTTACTGATAGTTTTGAAACTTTAATTTCTATCGGACTTTCCAGTTCCCGACCCCGCTTTGTATTTGTGTTGGAACCGGACGTACCTTTGCCCAATATACCCATGCCCAGTGCTGCTCTCTAACCAGATACCGTAGTCGCAGTAGCGAGAATTTACATGCGCCAATACAGTGAAACCTATACGCAAAGCTGTATACAAAGCCTACCTGACTATAAAGATCCTATGTGGTGTTTTTCTCTAAAGTTATTTCCTATTGAAACCTGTTCTAAAGCAATCTGTCTCTAAAGACCATCTGCCATTGAAGACTACTTTTCTTGCCCCCTTTGAACATTTTTTATATTTAGGTTTCATTGTATTAGGACCGTTCAAGGGAGACAGATAGGTGGTCTCTATGTACATATTCTTTTTATAGTACACAATGACAAACGTTATTCAAGGGAAACGGATAATGTGGTCTATATGGACAGGTGGTCATTCAATGTACAATTGGTTGCTAAAGTACGTTTTATTCTATTAATTTTTTTTTTCTGTAGTAAAATCACTTTGACCATAAACAAAATAGTCCCTTGAGAAGTCCCATTTTTTTATTTTAACACATGTTAATTTGTTACTTAAAGATACATTTTAATGTAAAACTTTGATTGTTCCCCTCCACATGAAACGAGAATTTTTTTTCTCGAAAAATGCCCGGTAACATTTGTTCCCCTTTACTGGCAGTCAACCATCTTTTAATGATCGTCAATACTACTGGGCCAGAAGGGATTAGACCACACAACCAGGTCACTGACAGGTGGCTATCTCATTAACTCAGCTCTCAACTAACATAAGAAAAAGAGGATCATGGGGGACCAACAGGCACCGATTGGGGAGGTTTTCTATATAGAGGGAGCAAGTAGTTACAAGTAGGACAGTGGGGTTTTAAAACCTTTAACCGGCTCTTCTCCTTTCAACGGCTCTTTTCCTTTCCAATTTTACCTTAAAATTTCATTTGATAGCTAACTGCATAGAATAAAATACAGTCAAATCTGCCTCAAGCTACCGCTTGCATAGAAAGATCACTTGTGTATGAAGACCACATTTTTTGTTCCCCTTGAATCGTGTTTCTCATCTAACCATGTGTTATAGAAACCTGTACATAAAAACTGCCTGCTCATAAATACCACATTTGTTTCCTTCCCTGGGTGGTCTTAAATTACACGTTTAATTTAATTGTTTGGTTGTATTTTGTTGCCAACAGCTACTTTCTTTGAAGGATATTCACAGCCAAATGAGACACAGCGTATTGCTATCAATTACTCCTGACGAGGGTGATGCAGAATTCTTAGTCATTTACGTGACGATTTCACAGGCTGGAAGACAAGGGATGTCTCGATCGATGGCGTTCGTCATCAGATATACAGGTTTGGTGGACATTTATATTCCCCATGATAGAGCTTGGTGAAAGTCATGTTGATTATTCTGAGAGCTAGAGGATCCGTCTATAAGCTAGCCTTTGTTTCAGACTAAGTTTAAAAATGAAAAAAAACACATGAGGTTTACAAGAGTGGTGTGTGGGGGGGGGGGGGGGGCTCAATAGACCTGCTTACAAATGTATTTCAATTCATGCATGTTTCTTTCCTGAACCCTTTGTTACCAACTATTTGATTCACATGCTATGTAAAATGGATGGAATTCACTTTGCATACATTAGTTGTTGCTATGTTGGGTAAGCCTCTAGCAAGCTATTCAGTCTTCAAGGCCGAAAAAAAATGCAAACAGGTATATTTAATTAATGTTAATTTGAATTCGGAATAGAATTTGTATTTGAATTTTATTTTGGATTTGAATTTAGATTTGGATTTGAATTTGGATTTGGATTTGGATTTGAATTTGGATTTTGGTTTTGAATTTGAAATAGAATTTGAATTTGAATTTCATTTTGGATGTGAATTTGGATTTGGATTTGAATTTGGATTTGGATTTGGATTTTGGATTTTGGATTTTGGTATTGGAATTGGAATTTGGATTGAAATTGGAATTAGAATTAGACTGTCATATTAATAAAGTCATCGAAGTTCATCCGATATCCTTTGGCTAGACATTAATCTATATTAGCCACTCTCCACCAGGTGAAGTAAATAGGTACCCAGTACAAAATAACTCATTGAAAACACTGAGCGCCTGAAGCATAGTATCAGGCTTAAGATAAAATAACAAATTTATATTAAAAATAAGTATTATTAAATACGTATGAGGCTTCCCTGGGTAAATACGACCATATCATAATCACTATTATCATCATTACTGTTGATGGTGGTGTTGTTCTGATCGTTTTTGTTGTTCCTGTTCATATTCCTGTTCGTGCTCTTGCTCTTGCTCCTGCTCTTGCTTTTGTTGTTAAAATGATGATTGTGGCTTTCATTTTGCTAACAAGTAGACTCATGTGACATTAATATTAAATAATAGGATTGCAGGCCCTCCAGAGAAAATAGAATTTATACTGATGAGGCAACATTGGGTCAATAAGATGTATTGTAACTATTATTTGTATTATTATTTATCGTCATTTTTTGTAAAAGTTATTATTATTATTATTATTATTATTATTATTAATGCAATAGAATTCTCCAACACCACTTTGTTTTTCTTTTGAAATTGTGAATTCCTTTTATTGCAGATGACTCGACATGCCAAGTATCTACTGAGCCCTCTTCATTTATTCGGTAAGCTTTCTTTTTGTATGATGCTGTTGTCAGAAATGTATTTTTTATGTATTTACTTTCTTTTTGGTACTTTGATATTTTATATACAAGATACCTCTCAAGTAAAGGACTACATGACATATATCATTTATTAACTTCATCGACACTATACATTTCTTTACTTAATAAAACATGAAATAAGAAATGCCAAAATAGAAAAAGTTTTAAGATTAACCATTTATATATATTGTTTCATGTATTTACTTTCTTTTTGTTACTTTGATATTTTATATACAAAATACCTCTCAAGTAAAGGACTACAGGACATATATCATTCATTAACTTCATCGCCACTATAGATTTATTCATTTTATAAAACATGAAATAAGAAAAGCCAAAATAGAAAAATAAAAGTTTTACAAAGTCTATTCCTATTTTGAAAAGAAATTTGTTTTCAACCCTCCACCTCCCCCTCCGCCCCCCCAAAAAAAATCTTTTTGTGTTACTGCAGTGAAACATAATGTATAAAGACTGTTCAAGGTAGAAAAGAAAAGCGCTCTTTATAGGCAGATGGTCTTTACAGACAGGTTTCAATAGGAAACAGATCTCTCTGTATAGGTGTTGCCAAATCAGATTTGACTGTATATTTTTCAGGGCTGTGGAAGAGCTCTCCGGCAGTGACCTGCCCGACATTGATGTTATCACGATAGCTCAGATGATGACGGTGAACCAGTTCTATGATTTGGGAGTGGCTCTTGGTTTTACCATACAACAGTTGGATGTCATAGAATACAGGAGGTTCCGTGACAGACAGCAGGCCATCTATGACATGCTGGTGACATGGAGAAAGAGACAGGCCTCCGGCCGAGACGCAAAGGACACGCTTCTCTCGCTCATGAAATCTTTGGACACGCCAGCCGAACAGACAGAGATTCCAGGTCAGTTGAATGGCACTTGCTCTTGCATCAATCGCTCTGCGGTAATTTCTTACAATTCTCGCTACCCTAAATAGGTACGAAAATCTCGAAATTCGCGAGACGAGGTAATTTTCACTCTCTCGGGTCGTCACTACAACTTCCGGTATAGAGTCCCATCCCGCTGGCGCTAGCGCCTGTGTTCGCTGTGCAGAGTTTTCACGCACGCTAAAATCGATGCCAATCAGTGTAATTTGTACAGATTATAATATGCAATGGAAAGCTTCGGGCAGAATTAGTGACTTTAGCACAAAAGGCCGTTAAACTCTACCGTGAAAGAGAGGGTTGTGATCACGAACGCCTGCACAGGAAGCTGTAATGTCGAAAAGCTATCCCATAATGCAATGCGCGTTTTCAGGATTTTCCCCGGATCTCGGCAGAATCGCTATTTGGGGTAGCGAGAATTGAATAGCTATTTTCAACCCTGCACCACACTTTGCCTGATACTAATCCTAAATCTATCCTAAAACCCAGTTATAACCCTAAACCTAACCTTAATCCGTACCCTTTAATTTTGAAAAAAATATAAACTGGAGAAATTGTTGCAGGAGAATTTCACTCACCGTCAGGTTTATAGTGTTAGTATTAAAACTAATTATTTCTTGATTTTTGACAACTGTATAAAGATATTGTGCTTGTTTTTATCCATATTTTGACTGCTTTTGCTATTGTTCACGTTTCCTCTCTTGACTGATCATATTAGATGTAAGAGGTATCTATTGTCGATGGCATTAACGACCTGCATGCAGGCATCCCATGGTACCCATGGCCTACCAGTGATTTGTTCTTCGCGGATTTGGGCCATTCATTCTTTTTAATGTGAATATAGAAGGGAGAGGAAAAGGATAATATGCCAACTTGTAGTAAAGGCCTGGTCGAACCTAACAATTAATGCTCTGCATATGTACACCTGATATTAATCGCAACTATGTACATCAGAGATGAGGACTGCAAACTTGAAATTGATCCTTAGAGGTTTTGCGATTGATCTATATATATTGCATTCGAAACTCTTTATAATACGGAGCCCTGAATAATAAAATTGCTAGGGTTCTGTAAATAAATCAGTTGGGGCACTGCCCGATTAATACCTTCTGGATCGGGAACGATTTATCATTATAGTTATATGGCTTAAGGTGAGGTCTGACAAGGCCTTAATGCAAGGGTGATTATTATAGGTTGAGGTAGAAGGGTGTTTTTCTAAATTTGTTTAAATCTTTCTTACCTACCTATTTCTTTGGAGTTATTCTTAGCAGTTATATAACAACAGAATGAATCTATTGCAACTTATTATAATTTCGTTTTCTTTTTCTCCTTCCCCGGCCACGTGAATTCATTATCTACCACTTGATCAACATATATCATAATCAGCTGTAACTGGGTAAGTATATTTATATGATGGAGAGCCCTATGTCTACAGTCATAAATATTTGACTTGAGATTGAACAAGGAATATTGTATTACTGACGTGGTCACTCTTGGGCTATTCTTGGTATTCTGAAAATTCCCATCACACTTTGAACAAGAACAATTTCATTGTACAAGAATAGATTGCCTTCTCACTCTAAATATTGGGAAAACAGATATACCTTATGCGAACATGCATATATATATATATATATATATATATTGTAATTTATTTGGTTTTAGACATAGAGCCTGTATATACACTATTGGTCATAATGGTGGAATAATTGTTTTTTTTACCCCGATTTATGGAAAGATTTTAACAATGATTTATTCCTACTAGATCTAGATAAAAGTATACATTCTCAAATTTCATTGAATAATAATTTGTGAGAGTTTGTTTTGCGTGACTGCTAAAACATGTGTTTGCTACTATGCTAATCTACTTGGGGACCTACGTCCTTCAGTCACAACTGACAGTAATGAGGAATAATGCCTCATAAGAGGGCACTAATGAAGCATATCGACATGGTTTTGATCCTTGGGGCTCACAGTAACCAGGCCATTGCTTATCCACTGAATCATGAATGTACGCAGCGGGGGCTAGGGTACGTCGCCGCCCCCACAAATACAAAAAACAAAGAAAATGCAATACATTTTCAATCATTCATTGCATTTTGCCCCGACCCCTAAGATAAACAAATTCCTCTATGTGGGCATGCCTCGACCCATAATGCAACCCCCTACGGAAGATTTGTTTATGTTGGGGACCGGGGGAAAATGCAATAAATTTATGATAATTTATTGCATTTTCTTAGTTTTTTTGTATTTGTTGGGGCGGCAACGTACCCTAGCCCCCGCTGCGTACAGTCATGATTCAGTGGCTAAGCAATGTCTTCGTAACTGTGAGGCCCCAGAATAAAAACCGTGTCGATCAGCTATATATTAGTGCTCTTTTGTGAGGCATTAATCCTCATTACTTTCAGTTATGACTTAAGGACGTAGGTCCCCAATTGATAAGCATAGTAGCAAACACATGCTTTAACAGTCACGACAAACAAACACTCGCAAATTATTATTCAATACAATCTGAGAATGTAAACTATTATCTACATCTATTAGGAATAAATCATTTTCAAAATCATCCCATAAATTGGATTAAAAAAGAAATTCCACCATTATGACCAACAGTGTATATATATGCAACTAAATACACAACTTAGGATGTGTTCAAGCACTTTCGGAAGCAAACCGTATCGGACCAAACCATGACATTGCGCCCCGTGCCGGGTGGTTAGTTTTTCGAGAGTATTTGGCGCAACATTTCGAACAACTATTGAGCCGCCTGGCCTGCCCCGATACACTGACCTGTTTGAACTCGTGTATTGTATTGTGTGAATAGACCACCTTGCTTTTGGGGACTTTTCGAGGTGCAATACGGTTCACTTTGGCACTCTCTAGACCACCTCGGGATTTGGTCCGGCGTGCAGGCTCGCTTCTTGAGCGGTACGTACCAGGCGCGTACGCAGGCTTGAGTTTTGAATGTGTATGTTTTGTGGGGAAAAAAAACCCTTTTGATTTTTGATTATTATTTTTTTAATAAAAAAAAAAAAAAAAAAAAAAAATTGTGTCAGTGGCTGACCTAAAAAAGGTAACCTTACCCCCCCCCCAACGAAACAAAATGTCAAATATTTTAAATTTCGAGACAAAAAAACAACAAACAGTGTCCTCTTACCCCCCCCCCCCCCCCGCCCCCCATTCCCCCCCCCCGCCCCCCATTCCCCCCCCCATTCCCCCCCCCCACTCCCCCCGCTTATTCAGCGGCTGGCTGAGTCGTTGCGAAATTTTTGGCCCGATTTTAACCCCCCCCCCCCCCCCTTGAAAAAATCCTGCGTACGCCACTGGTACGTACGGTACCGTTTGCTTAATATACCCTTAAAAAAGTACCATGGTAACCATGGTTCTTATGGTGGATGTTAATTTGGACAAAGAACCATGGTTATTTCATGGTACTTTTTTCAGGAGTGTTAAGGCGCTTTCTCTGGTGCGGTACGGTATGGTCCTCTTGAAAAGAGCGCTTAAACACCCCCAATATCAAAGCACATGCGTGGACTACGTAGCTTGTAATTATACTCACGTTTTAACTTTAAAAATATTGCATGGTGCAATTATTTTAAAACCATTTTGGTATGATGACATAGATGCCATAAGATTTGACATTTGAATAGCAGTGAAACTCCCTTTATTCAGAAGCTACATGTACGTGAACAAATATGTTTAGACAAACAATAGTTACAACGTCCTAGTTAATAAGGGCTTATTACTTCGAATCATTAGATCATAACGTTCGGCTGGGTGGTTGCTTTATTACACGACCTTTCATGAAACAAGAAGATGTGCGACTTTTAATTCGTAGATTTGCTGTGGGGTTTTCACGAAGTGTTTAGTAATGTTGATTACACTATTTTAGATGAGAGTTTTTTTTAACACAAACATGTCCACCCACTTTGTATGAATTAAAGGGTGTGTCACAAAAGATCGGGTAACGCGACCACCCGACCCGACGCGAAGTAATAACTGGTTCACTTTACTATCAATCACAGTGAGGTTCCCGACAAGATGCTGCTTGCGTTTGCCAGTCAGATCAAAGCAGAGCAGTTCTTTGAGATTGGCAAGAAGTTGGAATTCAACCGCACGGAGCTAGAACACATACAACATCGAACGTTTACAAACAGAAAGGATGCCAACATCCAGATGCTGTCTAGTTGGAAAGCATCACAATCTTCGGGACCAGAAGCTATAGAGGTGATAAAACGCGTTTGGGAGTCCACCCAAACAGCATCAAAATCAGTGAAATCCGAAGGTAGGACTGTACTCTGACATAGTTGTCTCTCTTTCTTCTTCTTTTTTTTTCTTATGTTAATCTCCAAGGGTTATACAGCCTTTCCCAAAGATTTGTAGAAAGATTACCAGTTTTTGTAAACAGGCATACTAAAAACGAGGTCTACATCATACTCTTTGCGAGAAGTATAGCGTATTAAAATGCATTGGGGCACGGGGCCTCGAGTTGACATTCTAGTCCAAGGAATGGAGTTTTTTCTCTTGAACCTGAGCCTACATTGAGAACAGAGGAATTGAAAGGTTGGGCTGAGACCAGATTCTGGAAATTTCTTTTTCTTTCATTTTAGTTAATGTCGCTAATCATAAGTAATTAATATTGCCCGAAATAGAAAGACAATTTTTATGGGTGGCTTATGCAGATATCTCTCAACTGTATGTTTCAATTTCTTAACACAATTAAAAGACTTTCACTTACAGCAAAGATGACGAAGTGCAGAATACCACCCCTAATACCTTTATCCTACCAACGAGACCATACAGACCGACACCAGACTGAAGAAAAACTTTCAGTTCATGGCCAACAAAGATTGATCGTTTTAAGGCTCATTTAGATAATACTTGGCATAACCATAGGGTGTTCTTGTAATGGCGTTAAGTGTAATACGCTTCATATTTCTACATCTTATAACAAAGACTGAATATGCGCGCACACACAAAGGAAACATGATACCTTTTTTGCAGGAGTTTACCGCACCATATTTGATCAACCCTTTAGAGTTAGTTTTGGTGGTGTAGACTGACGATGATTGAATAAAATCATTAATGTCTTTATTATTGATAAAATAATCACAAGTATCTTCATTATGTATTTGTTACCATGGTCATTAATTGTTACTATTTCTTTGTATCTAGTTGTCGATGAGGAAAGCTTGCCTGAAAAGAATCAGACCATAACCAAACCTATGAGGAGACTTCTACAAAGCAAAGGAACGGATGCGGACTATGTGGAAATCATCAGGACTAAAGATTCAGGCAATAAACATCTTTTTTTTTTTTTTATTATCAAACGATATTTTCTATTCTTTGATTTAATTTGTGTAATCCACTTGCTTAGGGAATAGTATTATTGTCTTCATTCAAAAAAAAAAACCAAAACAGATTACAGATATTATATTAATAACTGATTGATTAGAAATGATATTCAGCGATGCAACTTTCTCTCTCAAATAACTATGATTCAGGGTATATGCGCACCTTAATTTTTCTTTCTCTACAGACGAATACCGATAGTTCTTTTCAGAACTACACCCTTCACACTTTTTTGATCTGCTCATAAACTTCTTGATCTTGATTACCCTTTACTTCCCCCTTCGTTTCCCTTTTCCATTTCACCTCAGTTTTAGTTTTAAAAAACGAAATTTAAAGGCCACAGATAGTCTTGTCGAAGTGTAGAAAAAACTTAAATACATCATTATCTCTTTCCCTTTTCCTTTTCCCTTACCTTTTCTATGAACACCCCATAAACGGATACTTTTGATGAGAGAATAAATAAACAGCCTTTCAGTAAGTATGCAACATGTTGGTACCGAAAGCGTCCAATCGCGAAATGCTTCATTTTTATTTACTATAGATCAAGACAAAGCTGTTGATGACATCAACAAATCTGGAGGAGCGCCAACTTTGGAGGAGCTTTGCAGTGTCGCTGGGGCAGTGAAGAATTTGCCATTAGCCTGGGAATTAGGAAAAGCTCTCTGCTTGGAGGATGACGTTATTGCTGCACTCATTGAGCCACCTGATTTGACAACACTGACCAAGGTTGCACGTCAGCTTGTTGATGATACATGGATTGGTTTAGATAGGAAGGAAAGGAGAAAGAAAATGGCTGAGCTTCTCCTGGAATACAATATTCAGGACAACCAAACAGGTTTGCTTTGAACAATGAGCGTGTGTAGGTGAATGTGTGGTTGTGTGGGTACCGAGGAGACTCTTAAGAAATGTACCTTAACTTTAACCACTTGCAAACAATTGGATGTCCTGGGTTAAAAAAACCTGTAAATTGTTTAAAATGTTACTACCCATTAAATTCACTTTGCAAGCTATTTTTCTTTTGCATATTTCCATGTTCTTTAATTTTCTTTCTTTTCTTCTCTTTTTATGCCTTGAGCACATTTATATGAAGTGGCCTATTAACAACAGCAACAACAATGATAATACTGATGATAATGATGTTGATAATAATGAAAATAATAATGATAATAATTATTGCTATTATTTTGTGTTTATCATGTGATTATTTCTAGATGACGCTCTCAAAGAACTCGACAAAAGGATGTGCTCCATATCAGACTTGCTTCAGCTTGCCCCACGCCTGCACGTTGGCGCTTCTGACATCATGCGTGCCATGTGTAAGACCGTCACCCTGCCCGCGTATGTAGTACATCCGGTTGTTCTGCACATGCTCAGAGAATGGCTAAGGAGAGGAGGAACCCGAGGGAGACTCGTGGAGATTGTCCAAGCTTTCCGTTTCAACGATGCGGTAGAAAGCATAGCTGCAAGTAATGATTGTTTTTGTTATTTCCTTATAACTCAATACAAGAGACGATATACAATATTTGGCATCTCTTCGTATATTATGACAAATATCTCCCCCCCCCCCCCACCAACAAAAATAGTGAATGAAACATATAGAACAGAGTGGCTTTGTGTTGGCTTACCAAAATTGTAGATTGACTTCATGATGTTGGATAAAGATACCCAGCAAAGTTGACCTCCTACCCCTGTTTCTTTCCTTTTTACCCCTTACATTTTTAACCTTGTCATTTTTTAATCATTACAGCCATCAAAGCTGATCAAGGCTTTGTAGAGTTCATCTCGATCAGCACCCTGGATCACAAAGGAGGAGTAGTGGAGCTGCGTGAACTCGATATCCAGGTTTCAATCCCTGCCGGGGCGTTACGTAGGGGAATGAGGTCTGTGGTTACCATCAGGATACCTAGAGAGGGCGCTGCTCGGATTCCTCTCAGGGACGGTGATGTGTTGATCACTCCGGTCGTGGAGTGTTCTCTAACTCAGGAACTACTCGAACCTGCTACGGTAGTGCTTCCACATTGCATAGGTCCTAAACAATGCAGGGATGGCTCAGGGATGATTCTGTTCACCAAAACAGGACTAGGTATTAACCCTTTCTAGATATGCCTATATTATTTAAGGGCTGAATGAATCACTGTTTTCATCTTCATAATGACTTTGCTGGTAGTTCTACAGAACCCCTGAACAAACATCTATTCCTTTATCAAGAAAAAGGAAAATGGAAATTTTCAGTACAGAACAAACGGGATAGCCCGCATACGATACCTCACAAAATTGCCAATTTGTGTTTCATAGATTGCAACTTTAAAAACTTATAATTCTCTTAATATGTTAATCAAATTTTGCTCAAACTTTCAGAGTTCTGTGTCACTCATTTTTCGGCTCCTATTGAAAAAAAAGTTAATATCAGAGTGGACTACACCTTTTTTTAACGAGATTAAAAGATTTAATATAGCTGTAAAATCTGTTTTATTCATCAAGGAACGTTCAGTCGCAGGCGGTTGCTTCCTAATTCATCAAGAGGTTTCCACATCACCAAAGACAAGGTTGATTTCACTACAAACCAGCTTCAGCTCTTTGCCTTGTCTTCCACCAACGTCCAAGGAGTTCAGTTCAGATGTGTAACCTTCCAGCCTCTCTTCATGCCCTCTTCCCGGAAAGTCACACTACGTGTTTACGTCACTCACCCCTATAGGAGACCTATAAAGGTAGAAATGATTTGGAAGATTATATCCTATTTCGATTTGATTTGGTCTATTTACCAACAGCAAAACAGCAATACATTTCATAAAATGCTATTTAAATATACAAGAAGAGAAAATATTTGTTGGTAAAAGGAGCCAGGTAATAGCAAAAGTGCTAGTCGAGCCTAACCCCTTACAGCTAAACAAAGTATTTTAGTACATGGAAAGTTCAGAAAACAAAACAAAACTAAAATAATGATTTTAATATTACAATCTATACTTTAAAAAAAAAGAAAATACTAAACAATATCTTACAAAATGCGAGCGGATAGAATAAAATAAGTTTTTTGCTAATATTTAGACTATTTCCTTGGATTTTTCATTAATAATTATTTTGTTCAATAAATGTATTTTCATGTTGTATTTGAATTAGAGTTGGAGAGGGACATGTCACTGAGCTTTATAAACTGTTAAGAATGCTCTTGAGCCGGTTCACTTGTATTATTCCATTCACTATGAGCTCTGACCATGTTTTATCTTAGGATATTGAGAGAGCGGAAAAAGAGTTGTCAGAACCTTTCTGCCCCGTGACGAATGCAACCAAGTTTTCAGTAGAATCAACGACACTGGATCTAACGATTTGCTTCAGTGATGGTTTAATAGAGAAGCCAAAAACAGTGAGTAATAATACAAAATAATTTATCATTAATCTACTGCTTGATTAAGTTAATGAATGCTTTCAGAACGTAGGGCATCTAGACTAAAGCCAGGCCAATAATAGTACGTTTAGGTGCCTTTTGCATCCTCTGGGATGGGTATTAGCATGAATGTAGTTATTATTATTTGCTATAACGAAAGGAAAAGAAATATGATGAAAAGGACGCTGAAGTTAATATTTTTCAATTTTTTCGATTTGTTTCTTTTTGTCTTCATACAATTTGTGGATTATTCTAGTGTTTCAAGCACAAATTCTACCAAAATGATGCAATTTAGTTTGTCAATTGCTTGTAAAAATTCTATCCGGGACTTTAGCCAAACAGCACAAATTGTAAGGTTAAAATCATTCAAAGAATCTCGTTCTGTCAGGTACTTCTTGCCTACTCTTGGGTGGAGAGAGACACATGTAAGTGGAATGTATTTTCTTAAAGTATTTAGCTAGAGTTATTGAATTCACAACCATGTGAGGTCTAGCTCTTTTATAACACAGTGCGCCAGCCTTTAACTTTCATTTCCTTCCACTTCAAAACTTTAAGATCTCGATTGGCAAGCTTTTGGCGGAGGAAAGCAGTGTCCTGAGCATCGAGCTCGAGTTCTTACCATTTGAGGATGGAAAGAAGACTTTTAATCTCTCAATCCAACAGGGGACGTCAACACTCGTAGAACAGAGCCTCACTACATCAATAGAAGGTAAGTATCCATATGTAGTGGTGTTGATAGATACAGGAGAATGCAACGAAAAGGGGACAATGGCACCCTCCCCCCTCGCCCAACCAAATCGTGAACAAAATCAAAGAAAAAGGTGAGGGGAAACAAAGGGAAAGGAGAAGGGGAAAACGATGAGAAAAGATAACGTCTTGATTGAGACCCCCCCCCTAATCAGTAGCTTTGTAAATTGGTGTAAGAACGTGTAAGACCGGTCTTATAATTCATGATTACTATTTTCTTTTACTTTCTAATGCAGTATGTAATTTTCAATGATGATTGGTTCATTTAAAAAAATAATTTGATTCATCTTAGAGAATTTAAGACAGGAAGATAAACAAAATTTGTGTCAACCTTTTCATCATTTTTGTATTCGTTCCCATACTGCTTCCAGTCTTTCCTGTATTGCTAAATATTATATAAACTGTGTGAATAAGAAAGAAAAACAAAATTCATATTGAATTGGACATATCCAAATTATGGCTTTTCCCAATGTCTTTTCTCTCCCTAAATTCTATTAACAACAGCGGAACCAGATTATGGTGTTAACCTCACTGACGCGTAAGTAAAACCCAATTTATCCTTTCATATTGAATGTTTGTTGTGATATCACATTCTTATCAGGGTACAGCGAATTCGAAGGACTTATCCTACCTGGGACCAATTTACTTCATCTGGGTAGATTGTGGCAAATATAGATAACTGTCTTGCCAGAGTGTATTGGTAAGGATTGTAATGATGGCAAGGATTTTAATCCTGTACCTTGTGATTTGCAGTCCGATGACTTATCCACTGGACTACAACACCAAAGAAAAATGGTTATCGAAATTTCAGGTACCTTTAAAGACAAACATTTTTGTGAGTTGTGTACAAAGGGTCCGCCACATTGGTTTAAAAAACGGGTGTACAATCTTATTTTACCCCCACCCTAAATGCTTAATCAGATTCGTAGCGTTTTTTCTTCATAAAACTGCGTGTAGCAAAGACCATGTCCGTATTCATTGAGGTCGGTATTATAAGATACAGAAATAAAATATAAAACAAATTACCATTACATAATAATAGAAAAGCTGTGGTTTACCACATCGTATCAGAAAGGGGCTTAATGCTTTACTGCGTCATATCTGAATGAGGATTAAGGTTTACCACCTGATATCTGAATGGGGCTTATCTGAATGAGGCTTAAGAGTTACCGCGTCATATCTGAATGAGGATTAAGGTTTACCGCGTCATATCTGAATGGAGCTTAAGGTTTAGTACGTCATATCTGAACGGGCTTAAGGTTTACCTTTTCATACCTTAATGCGGCTTAAAGTTTACCGCTTCATATCTGAATTAGAAATAAGGTTTACCAAGTTATATGTAGATGGGCCTAAAAGTTCACCGTTTCATATGTGAATGAGGCTTAAGCTTTACGTCATAAGTGAATAACACTTAAAGAGAAGGTTGAGTTCTGGGAAGAGGTGAACAATAATTTGTGAGCGTAATCATTCTTATTATGCAAGTGTGGAAGAACATCAGATAAGACGTGTTCCCTGAAAAGCATGGCTCTTCAAATGCCTTCATATTCTAAATATGCCATGAAACATCGTAAAACTCGGGGGTAGGATTTTTACGCCACGTGTTCGTGTAGTCCCATATACATCTTTATGTGTACAGTGTTTGAAACTTTACCAAGACTTGGCCAAATTTCTTATCATTTTGATGATTCCAGAACCTTGCAATACACACACATTCTTATATGCTAGATGATCAACCTTTTCTGGTCGATTCCACATCGTTTCTTTTACAATGCAATCGCATGACCAGAACTCAACTTCATCTTTAAGGTTAACCACGTCATACCTGAATAAGGTTTAATGATTACCAAGTTATATCTTAATGAGGCTTTAGGTTTACCCAGTCATATCTGCATGAGGGTAGGTTTACCGCGTCACGAAGGGCGCTCTCTACAACAGAACTCAACTAAAGTTGAGTTCTCTTACAGAGGGCGGTACACAAAATAATTTTTGTGTGAGATAATGAAAAACTGAGTGTCAAATTTGAAAGAACATACAATCTTAATGACAAAATCATCTTTGTTTGATCAAAATCGGTTCAGAGACGGATGGAATATGCATAAATATAACCATTTCTTATGTTTGTGTAGGCCTACCACCACAAATATTACATAATTTAATACGTTTTATTCCAGCTAATACCAATATTTTGGCTTTTTGTTGTTTATAGTACGCACAACCAGCCGGCCCATGTATTTTTATTTTTATTTAATTCATTAATTAACGGTCTGCGTATTTGTTTGTAAGGTGGAGGGAGGGGGTGGTATTAAATTACCTTCATAGTAGTTTTAGGTTCTAAAAGGGCACTAAAAATGTCTTTAAAAAGAATAACCATGCACTTTCAAGGCATTTGCGGTCTGGAAGAAGAACTCAACTATCCTTTTAAATCTACCAGCGGATTCATTTTCTTCTTGATGAATTTGTTTTCTGACTTCTCCATCTTTGTTTTGATGCTCTGCAGGCAAGGACAGCAACACTATGCTTCAGACAAGCTGCTTGAGACCTTGACAAACGTCCTGTTCACACCTAAGGACGTCCAGAGTCTGGGCTACCAGCTCGGCTTCGCGCATTCAGCCGTAGAGAAGTACCTGAACAGACCAGATTTGACCCTTAGTAGTGTCCCAAGGTCAGGCTTCGACGAAATGCTCCGTGACTGGAGACGTAGGGTTAGGCCGGGGGACCAGGTGGACAGACTACACACTGCCATGAAGGATGCCGGGTTAGGATATGCAGCCGACGTTTTACCGCATGGACGTAAGTATCACATCGGAGACAGATGGCACTCGACAAAAATGTCAATTACTAATCTTGTTTGAAAGTTTTTAACTTCTGATGGCAATACAAAAACCTTTACCTCCAAAATTTCTGCTGATAAGTTACAGCCTTCATAAACAATGTGACCTGACTTGATTTCTCTTACATAATGGGCTATAACCAAGCAATAAACATGCAGGACGTTGCTGAAGTAATGATAATTGCAGAGCCTACAGGAAAAATGTTGCTAATACTGCTTTGGGTAAATAAGACCAAGCTATAAATTGCAATTATGATATTACTCAATTTGTTAGTCTGGTAATTGTTAGTCTCGTCTCTAACCCAATGTCACCCTTGAATAGCTGATAAGTCACACCCCTATCCTATCATTATTGTTTCACAGTCAAACCTGCTTTAGTAACCTGTCAACAAAGACCACATGTTATGTTTCCCGTAAAAATGGCTTCTAATTAAAAACATGTACTAAAGGAACCTGTCTACCAAGACCACGTGTGGACAAAAACCAAATGTTGTGTTTTCCCTTGGGCGGTCGCTATAGACAGGTTTGACTGTACTATTGGATTTCCTATTTGGACCACGTACACTCCTTGCCACACACAAAAACAACTAAATTTGCTAGTGTGTTGCAGTTATATTTATTCCAAATAATCTGTCAACGCTTCTAGTGCTGCAAGCATCGATGGATTAAATTGTTTCACAGTCAAACCTGCTTTAGTAACCTGTTTACAAAGACCACATGTTATGTTTCCCGTAAAAATGGTTTCTAATTAAAAACATGTACTAAAGGAACCTGTCTACCAAGACCACATGTGTACAAAAACCAAATTTTGTGTTTTCCCTTGGGCGGTCGCTATAGACAGGTTTGACTGTACTATTGGATTGGATTTCCTATTTGAACCACACTCCTTGCCACACACAAAAACAAGTAACTTTGATAGTGTGTTGCAGTTATATTTATTCCAAATAATCTGTCAACGCTTCTAGTGGTGCAAGCATCGTTGGATTAAATTAAATTATATTCAACATACTAAGAATCTTACTCTAAGGTTGGTCAAAAGTAAATCACGACGTGATGAAAGATAGTAAGCCCATCATTGATGGGAGAAGAAAAGTTCGTTACATAGTAGTATATATCTACACAGTGGAACGCAGTTTCACTGAAGATACTAGCACTATCTATACAGTGCAACGTACTTTCACTGAAGAGTGTATACGTTGCGTATACGTACGTACGTATACTACATGCACTGTTCATGTACGTATCGTGCACCGTTTGTTAGATGTTAATTGATGTGGAATCGATGTGGAATATAAAGCAAATAATCACCTTTTGGTTTCAGGCGATGGAAAACTATCACTTCTTCGGCGATCTGAATGTATACGCTATCTTTCCTCAACGCTACATTCAGATAGCCTCGGAAATGATAGTTTGTCCCATCACCTACACCAACAGTTTAAATATATAACTATTTTTTACCTGTTATCCTCATTTCAGATGAATCATCCATGACGTTTGCACAACTCAGAAGAGTGATACAGGAAAAGATTGGACATACCTGAAGCCACACAACGCTGCCTATCGACCAGTTGCATTTTCCCTCACAGTGAACTATTGATTCCCAAGAATTGCCATTTTGTTGCTGTATTCATGCTTCCACGATGAATTAGCCGTCCATCCGTAACTCCCGTTCTCGTGATCGTGTTATCTCAAGAACCGATTGATGGACTCCGGCCCAACTTGGGTCATGTATGTATCTTGCAGAGCCAATGAGTTGATTATATTTTGGGTCACGAGGTCAAAGGTCACAGGGTTCATTATGTATGCAGAAATAGCTCGTGATCATATTTTCATTATACCCGATTGACGGATTACCATCAAACTCAAGACATGTATGTATCTCGCTGAATCAATTAACTGATTAAAATTTGGGTAATGAGGTCTAGGTCAAAGGACATGGGGCTCATTATGTAAGCAAAAGTAGCTTGTAGTCGCGTTATCAATAGAATCGATACACAGATTACCACCTAACTGAAGACACGTATGTATCTTGTAGAGCCAATGAACTGATTAGATTTTGGGGTCATGAGGTCAAAGAACAAAGGGTCATACAACCCCCCCCCCCCTTGAAAAAATCCTGCGTACGCCCCTGTTTATAAGACATACATGTTAAACCTTGGATTTGCCCAATAATGTAATTAAATGAAAAGAAAGATATTAACTCTTATTTTTGTTATTGATTGTATGTTTTCTCATTTGGAGGTACTCATATCACATTTTAGAAGACTTGAAGAAAAAGAAACGATTTTTTACTCAAACACCAAAATATGTATTATGATCAAGCATACATGGTTTTATGAATGGAATGTTAAATGTAACATTAACTCAATTTTTGATAGTGGCAAAACCTTCTTTTCCCTCAATATCAGTTATAAACATTGTTGATACATGATTATATCTGTAGTTTTTAATAAGTTGAATGGTAACACGTAACTATTTTTATTCACTACTATAGTCACAATCAAATTGCCTAAAATAATACCATTGTATTTTAAAAAGTATTCCTGTTCTAACTGTAAATTATATCGAATCTGTGCCTCATTATATATAGCTATATAAAAAGATATCATGGCATATATCCTGGAGAAATAACATACTACGTTTGAGTTTGAGTTTAGTTTCGTTTATCTCACATGAAAAAAAAAACATTTGCAAAATTGATATTCGTTAACAATAAAGACATCTACACAGCATAGGTTTATATTGCATTTACACTAAATAATTTCGAAATTACATGTGAAAAACGGAACTTAATACTATACTACGTTAGAAAGTATTACCGTTAAACTGTAACGTTAGTGCTTCATTATATATGAATATATAGGAAGATTATCATGGCGTATTTTCTGAAGTAATACCATATTATGTTAGAAACTATTACTGTACTAACTGCAAAGTCTATTGTTTATGTGCCTCGTTATATATGTATATATAGATATACCTATACATATATATATATTTATATAGGATTATCATGGTATATTTTCGGAACAAATACCATACTACGTAGAAAGTATTACTGTATTAACTGTAAAGCAAATTGATCATGTGCCTCATTATATATGTATATGTATATATAGGAAGATTATAATGGCATATTTTCTGAAGTAATACCATGCTACGTTAGAAAGTACTAACGTACTAATTGTAAACTTTCCTAATTCTGTGCTTCATTATATATATTCAATTCAATTCAATTCATAAATGGTTTTTACTATTGCAAAAACTGGTTCATACAGATTGAATTTTACATGAAAGACAGCACTGGCTGGGATGTCTATGTTTACATGTTAGGCACAATAAATAACACTTTTAGATATATATACATGTACAAAAAACAGCAATATCAAAATAGGACTTAGATTCTGTAAACTAAAAACCATAAACACATTGCACAAGTTATCAACAATACAACAAAATATATAGATATCATGGCATATGTTTTTTATTTTATTTTAAATTTCATACTAGTATTGGGATCTGTTAACTATATGACTACTTTGCAGTAGTTATGTGACTTTGAAGCCGTTTTTCACCATTGTATGTGATGTTTTATATATCTTTTGCTGCAGTAATCTATATTCAGCAAACATACGTTTATTCTTGACTTCTTCATGCTATATTTTTAAAATCTCTTGTTTCACCAACTTGTTATCTTTGTTTTCTTCCACTTATTCCGGGGGTAAATAATTGTATATGTACATAAATATGTCACTTGAAGTATATGTTACTCATTTTTTAATTGGTGTTCATTTGTGTTAAATTTGTATTACTGTGTATAAACTAAAATTTGACGTGCAGAAAAAAATGCTGAATTTCAGAAAGTACTTTGCTTGACCAAAATACCGTTGTCATTTTATTTGCTGTGTTTTACATGACGTCTCTAAGTCTGTGAACATTTTTAGAGATGTGAATGTGTTTGTGAATTCATTTTATTTTCTTTACCATCGTATTGTATTCGGTGAGCAAGTTTGCTTTGGTTTTTTATGCAGTGCTCATATACTAGACTTGGTACTTGTGCAAATTGAAAAGTAGATTTTGTTAAATTGTCAATATCAGAACAAATGACGAGAACGTTTTTTGTTTTGTTATCTTATATGAAACAACTTGTCCTACAATTGAAGACATTTACGTAGCTAAAATTGAAATCTGCTAAATTTGTCAATTTTTGTATAGACATTTGTGATTTCAGTACTATGTTTATATCATTATTTGATTTTTATTTGATTTGATTTGGTTATTGGTTGGCATGCATTTTTTTCATACATTTCCATGAACATAATATGGTTTGATACAATATTTTAAGTGTATATAATTGTATAAAGATAATAAACGAAATTAAACAAATATATTGAATGCATAATTAACATACATTACATGAGTGCAGCGGCTTAGCAAGAAAATTGTGCACTTTTTGAGAAAAGCATGAAACTTCTAGCATAGTTAGCTATCACCATAAGATTTATTTTCAGATGTGGAGGGAAGTCAGATTTGACCTCTGATGACCCTGAGAGGTCAAATCCAAAATGGCCGCCAGTCCAGATGGTATTATTGTACAAAGACGCTTAACTTTTGAACCAAATAGTCCAGAAAAACGTTTAAGGTATCATTTCCAACTAACTTGAGGATGCCAATTCATTTGGTAACACTTTTGAGATCGCCAGAACTCAGGATTTTGCATGTAGGTCAAGGTCAAGGTCAAAATTGACTAAAAAATAGCAAGTTTTGAATGGTTACAAAAAGTTTTCCCATTTATTTGTCATTTGTTCGCCCCTATATTCTCAAATTTCTTTAGAAATGGTTCCCCTGCATAGTCCCCGACCTTAATCTTTTTCAGTTAGTTTATTTCACAGTTTGATTTGACCTCTGATAACCTTAAGAGGTCAAATCCAAAATGGCCGCCAGTCCGGATGGTCTTGTACAAAGACGCTTAACTTTTGAACCAAATAGTCCAGAAAAACATTTAAGGTGTCATTTCCAACTAACTTGGGGATGCCAATTCATTTGGTAACACTTTTGAGATCGCCAGAACTAAGGGATTTGCAATAAGGTCAAGGTCAATGTCATATTCGCCTCCATGTTGACACTTAACGAGTCATAATTAAAAAAAATGATAAAAAGACCCATGTACCACCACTTTGACTATCCAGGGCCAAATTTTATAGAGCTGCTTATCGGCCGGTTCTGTGCTTACGTATGAGTTTCTACTAAGCACACGAAAATGCATTAACCCTTAATGAATTTTCTAACAATGCAAATCCATTGTAAACGCGCAAGGTGGACGCCTTGTTTTCTTGCTAACCTGCTTAAGCAAATTCTTCTGCTACAGTTAGCACGAAAATTTGCTTACCGGAAAGCAGCTTCATGAAATTGGGCCCAGAAGACCCAAAAAAGCTATTCCAAATACGACCTAAAACCTGTTCATATCCACATGAATTTAGCAAGGTCCACAACTGATGAATATCCTAACTGGGTAACGATCAACATCTAATAGTCTCCAAAACAAGAGCACAGTGCACTGCAGCTTTGACACACTTGCAACATCCAGTGCATCCTTTCTTGCAGCGACAGTGTATCAATTCATGGCACGATTTGTATACCTCCGGGAGAGTGGTCCAAAGAGGCTGCCACCCAGTTGTTTCGTTTGTCCGGCCCAAGTCAGATGGCTCTGGCATCTCTGGATTCTTGGCCAATGTCTAGTTCCAACAGTAAGTTGGCCTGGTAGCAAGTGCGCTTGATGTGCTGCCTGAGTGCTGCCTGGGTTGGAGGAAGGTTCTCCAGGTTTCTAGACTTCTGTGCAAAGAGCTGTTTCCTGGCATCATTCACTACCACGCTCTCACTGGTTCGGTCGTACTTCAGCACCACAAATCGCTCTAGCAGTAATATTGGTCCTTCACTGACCTCACTAGACATGCACAGGAGTTCACTGAGGAAATCATTCACCTCTGGGAAAGACTTTGGGAAAGTTTCCCAGGCTTTTTTCCTCTGAATGCAGAAACAGTGTCACACCCGGTGAACAAATGAAAGAATGAGAGAGTCATACACTGTGTCGGACTCATGGTGGCAACCATTTTGTGAAAAGCTATGTACCGAAAGCTTGATCTGACACCAAAAGTGATCCACAGCTCATCGGGAGCTGTCTTGCTGAATGAAGCCACGGTCAGTACAACCGCATCAGTACCAACAGTACGTTTGGTTACCCTTTTCACCCTTTTTGCACAGCATCTGCCACATGCAGAAGTAGACGAGTGTCAGTCTCCTCGTGCGAGCATGGGACAAGGCCTGACAAATGTGACTCAGCAGGAGAGCAGAGTATTCCACTTCTGTTGCATACAGTTCCTTGCTCTGTGGTAGAGGATGATGAACGGTTTAGCGTGGCAGGAAAGCAAACAATTCGGCTTTGTTCTCATTGACTCGAAGGAAGTCCATCCAGTTTTTTGGCAGCATAGTAGAAGGAGCCACCCCTTTTCTAGTGCCCTTTCCCCTTTCCTGTCATGTTGAGGCATTCAGGCAGGCAGGTAAGTATTCACCATAGCCAAGGTCGATGCGGATGCTTTTCTCGAGTTGAACAAAGATGTATGGGGCAAACACTCTTTCAAAGGATTGAGCATTTGAACCACAGCTGCACCATCAAGAATTATTGCTCGGGCCACAGGTGCACTA